AAGCCAAAGCAGTATTCTAAGCATGAATTTCCACACGTTGATGCAGTGTATATGCCTGGTTCGGAAAACTAGTTTGGCGTCTGCATCCCAGCTGCATTTGTTGATGAGGCCGCAACGAAAGCAGTGAAGCCTTCGCGAAGCCTCCTTGTTTCCGTCTTACGGGCTCTAAGCGCCTCCCCTTTGGTTTGCTTCACTGTCCCTTCATATTTCTTTGCTGTGCGTTGTATGTCTACTTGATGGATTGGTCCGTTTCTTTCTCCATCGAACTGCCAACGCCATTTCCCGCTGCACTCGTCTCCTGCCCTAGCGTTTGCACTCCCTGTTTCCGGTTGCCTATCTCGCTCACTGTTGTGTTGCTCCTTCGTTGCTTCTTGTAGGAACCTACCTTTGTGCAGACAAAAATTCTCCTGCATTGTTGAACTTCATCGCCGGCGCCTCCGCCCGCATCGCAGGGGCTGTTGAGGAGGAAAAGTAAGTGTGAAGGCATGCCGTTCTGGGTGCTCTTGGAGTGGTCTTAGATCAAGGGCCAGAGATCGAGAGGGGGCTTAGCGTGAGGGGCATTTGGGCTAACCAGGACGGATGAATTGTGGGTAACGAGAGAGCAGCTTAATTATGACCTTGCTTTATGCTTTCATATGCACGCATCAACATGAGTTGGATTTCTTTGTCATGTTCGTTTGTGTGTACATGTTCACTCGGCCTTCTATTCCTCCCCAAGTCTGTACCGCTAGACACGTTGCTTGTGCGGTCTGATGCCTTATTTTGCTGTGCCTTGGCTGCACGTTTCTTCCAAGCCTCGCCACCTCTGGTAGTCTGTGTCAGCTTTGAGGCTCGGACGCACCTTTTGCAGATTGAAGCGCCGTCGCAGTAGCCGATTGAGAAAAAGGAAAAAGGGTTCTGTTGCCCTTGCCCTCCTTGATATCCAAGATCTTGTAGAAAACGCCTCAATGTACGGCATCGAGGGAAACAGATATGTCCTCGATATGAGGTATCGCTTCCTTCCAGTGACACAAGCAGGTGCGCGAGGAAGAGTTGTACGCAGCAAAGAAGAAACTTCCGGTATCCACTTCGTGCCAATGGAGAAAGCCCCTTACGCAATTGATTGCGTCTACTCTTTTTGTGTGTCCGTCTCTTTCTACTTCGTTCGTGCGCAGCTCTTGACAAAGAAACTAATGAAGACGATGAGCTAATATGAGCCGAAACCCGCTATCAAACGACTCGCTTGAAAAGCCCCCCAAAATTTGGTGGTTGTGGTCATTTGCGTCGTTGTTATAGTATAAGGGCTAAACGGTAGCAAAAAAACCTTCGGACAAGGTCAAATAAGAGGCTTCAGCGATGCTCGTGTGGGTGCAGTACTTATATACGTATATATAAGATGGTGTCTCCGCAGGCCATCACGCTCCGCCTCCCTCTAGCCTTTCTCCGGTGTACCATACGTTGAGTGTGTTGCGTGCATTGCCTTCTCTTCAAATGCCTCCTGGGGTGCTGATGTTTATTGGTTCACGGCGCCAGTGGGGGTGCCAGAGAAAGACTCTTGAATGCCGCAGGAGCACGGAAAATACTCAGGTGACCCTGTGTGAAATAGAGGTCATTAGTTTGTGATTGCCCTGCATCCCATGAGCATCCACCTAATCTTTTGATAGATACTACTGAACGCGGCAAACTCGTGACCAGCATAAGCGTGAAGGTGAGTGTTGTACCACATACAGATGCGTTGGGTGATTCTTTTGAAAAGGACTGAAGACTGTTTGCAACCACTTTAAACTCTTCTGTCTACAGGCCTTGGTCCCTCCTTTTCTCTCGTTCTTCACCCTCATCGATTTGCCTTATTGGTACCATTTGCATTTTGCCCACTGTCAGGCCTCCTTCAGCGCAATAAGCCCAGGCCACGGCTGGCACATGGAGTGAGTGTTTCAAAGTCTTAGTGTTCTAAGTAGCTGTTGGGCAGCCTACACGCCACGCAGCACAGATTTTAGATGCATACAATAATAATTCTAGTCTGGCACCCATAAAGGAATATGTGCCAGTGGTGGCCCTCTGAAAAGCTGTGCTGCTAGACAACGGCTACGTCAACTTCTGAACAGTTCTACGAGTGCCAGTTGCCTCCCCGACAAATGAACGAAAGGCACGAGATGATAGCACAAGTCGAGGCTCAAGAGGCAATGACGCGCGAAAAGCGTATTCTACGGACACATAGGCAAGAAGTTCCAGATGTCTTGGTCCTGTCTAGCCATTGCCTATTCTTTTGGTATTTGCTTGTCTCCTCGCTAGAATCCAAACTCCCTACACCAGGCAGGAACAGCTGTATCATCTCGCCCCTTTGAGGCCAAATTGGGTAGCGTATTATGTTCGGATTCACTTTCACCTTTCCATACGCTATGCGTATGACAGATGCACATCCGAAGGGCACTGCAGAACAAGACTCTAGGGAGTCCCCAAAAGCGCCCTTCATGAGGTGCCCTAAAGAGAGTCGTTCCTATAAGGAGGAAAGCCTAAAGGGGCACTTACTGAACCCCGAATCATAACCTGACTCCAAAGCACAGCCACGTTCATTTCACAGACTAGTACATGCCCCCACGTCTTATGAGCCCCCGCAAAGAGTTCGATACTCCAGTCGAAGGGGGGCCCAACCAGGGCGAAAAAAAACTAGATTCGCTCTCTTCATCTTCTTCAATACTGTATGGCTCGCCCCAGTCAGACTCAAAGAAGTCCAAAAGGGAGAAGGTAGGAGAAGCGGCTGCAGCATTGCAAAGCAGAAGCAGTTCGGTTGACTTAAGCAGATAGAGTGTGCTTTTGACGTGGATGTCATACTTGTACATGCTCTACCAACTCTCTGGCATACCGCTCTGTTTCCTTGAGTACGCGATTGCGGGGTAGTTCGGGTCAAAATCCAAGTTTCCAAGCCCATTATCTGAATTAGAAGCCTGCCGTGACAGCCGAACAAGGCCTGGCTGCAGATCAGCGGTGATGTGAACTTCCTCCTGAATGAGCTGTAGAGCCGGCTGTGGTCTGATCAACTGGTCTGATGTACTGACGGGGATTACTCTGCCACCCAGCAGATCCAGCTTCTCTGTGGAAGAAGATGCGTCTACCGCGGGCGACGACTCTGGGGGAGCCGTCCTGACGGGGCTAGATAAGTACAGGAAATAAAAGGGTAGCCACAAAAGGCTGGTGTTTTTGAACAAGAAGACTCGCATCTGCAAAGATAGCAGGTGGAGATTCAGCGAAGACGGGTACAGAGAAGACGGTGGGGTCAGGGGGAAAAGGGCTATCGATCTGAGGGAAACAGACGACGGCAGACGACACTCATTGCAATAGATATTTCCTCGTAGCTTGAAGAGTTGCTATTCTTGCACCGCTGAAGAAGGAGCAAAACATTCACACTATCCATTTTCACATGCTTCATTACAGTAACACATTATGGGCAGTTCCTCTCGCTAAATAAGGGTATGTCTATGCGCATATTACTTCCACAGACACATCAGCACAACAGGTCGAACGTTTGCTGACAAGGGGACACATCCTGCTGCGCTTCGGATTTTGGCTATTGCTTGCATCTCGGTCCGAACTTGCTCTTGCCAAGAGTGTTTTAGCCTACCCGCGATGCTGAGAGCCTCTGACGACAATAAATGAAGAATGAAAAATCCTAGAGTGAATAAAAGATGACAGACAAATTGATATCCCAACGCTATCGAAGGGACGTCGACAGATTCGACGCGCGCAAAAAAGCGTGGTGGTATAGTACGAGAGCTAGTGCGGCGAGACAACGTGGCCAACAGAAGAAAGCAGGGTTATGATCTTGCTTGCAATTAAAAGGTAAGGAAAAGGATATACGGAACAGCGCAAATATGCACATGGAGACCATCAGAAAGTCAATCGACAGCTAGCTGATAGCAACCTGCTGTGTAGACGACAGAACAAACTTGGCTTCAAGAAGGGAAATACGATATTGGCCGCCTCTAGGGTAGAAATTACTACAATAGAATTTTCAGACTACTGATTGAACAAAATGAACGGAATAGAGATTGATTCTTATTCCCTCGCGAGTTCATGGACCATGTACCCAAGAACAGCAGTAGCCAGCCCCAAAAGGCGTTGTGCTGAATAACCATCAACAATTGCGGGGCGGGGCACGGTAGGAATGAAGGACAGCCTTAGATTGATCTACACCTCTCAGGAGCAAAGAAAAAGAACTTCTGCCATATTATTGGGCAATTATCTTCTTTTTCTCGTGTTCCTGCCGTTTACGCCACCAACACCAAGTGAGCAGAAACAGCCCCACACGAGGAGAGCAGACGCTGTGCTGTAAATGGATATGCAAAACAGACAAAGGAATTACTGCATGGAGGCCCCATTAGTGCTCTTAGTATTCATTTGGAATTAAGCGTGGATGTCCACTTGACGATGCCTCACGGATTCCTACGGTATACTCATTGGCCGATTGAGGAACGAAGAATATTTCGAGAGAAAATAGTACTTGTGCTTTTCGTGCGTCTTTATCTCATTGAGCGACTTCGTATTGGCCACCGATGGATTTCTCCGTTCAACAGGGTCGGAGAAAAGGGCGGGTCCGGGTGCCTTTGGCTGCGTTGGGGTGTTCGCTGTCCGGCATGTCTCTCCGTGATTTGTTCTCTACTTTTTGCGTACGGTCTAGTTCCGCATCAGTTGCAGAACTAGGCAGCTCATGCTACGAGGATTTTTCCCGGATTGCAGCCGCTCAGCAGTGCCACAGAGGCCATAAATATTCAGCGTGCAATATTCAGCTGTTTTAAATCTGCAGCTGTTGTTGCGTTAAACTCTGGTTTTCCCACCGATAATTTGTTGTTCATTCTTCACACTTCTGTCGTGTGGGCTATTCCTTTGTATCTGGCGCTTATAGTTATTATGAATTTGAGTACCGCCTGCTGCTCCCTGCAGCCCTTGCCTTGTGCATCCCCCACTTCTTCAGCATCACCCCCGTATACATTCCGCTCTTCCTGTTTCCTCTGCCTGCGTGTAGGATGGAGAACGAAGAGGGAAAGGTTGTTGATCTGTACGTCCCCAGGAAGTGCTCAGCCACCTCTCGGTTAATCCCTGCCAAGGAGCATGGGGCGGTTCAGATCAACGTTGGGATGGTGAGTCGTGCTTTTTTTCTCCCAACTGTCGTCATTCAGTATAGTTACACCCTGGCTAGTCCGCTTTCACATAGAGAGGATGCTTGGTTTGCCGCTCTTTGGTCTAAGGCGTCGCACATTTTGGAGTTAGTTCTTTTAATGTTTATATGGGCGTGAATTAGTGCTGCCTCGCAGCATTTTACGAACTTGTATTTGTTTGTAGGTCGACGAGGCCGGTCGTTACACCGGAGAGTACACGACAGTTGCGCTGAGCGGCGCTGTTAGACAGCGGGGGGAGAGCGATGCCTGCATGAACCGTCTCATGTGTGAGAAAAAGATTCTGAGCTTCTCCAAGTAAACAGCAAATCCAGATGGATCACATCAGATGATCTATTGAGCTTAGACTGTAAAAATGGGCAGCAGTGGAGTGAATAGGCACCTGGTTTGCTGGAAGCTGGCGTTTTTGGCAAACTAGGTGCTAGGGGGAAAGACTGATTTATGAAGTACAAACTTCCCCCCAATTGTTGCATCTGCTTTACGGGGTAATTAGCACGTTGCGAGAACTTGAATCCAGAAACCAGTGAAGTAGCAGAAACGTAGCGGTATGTCTACATAACGGAATTCGCCCTTGAGAGTTAGCTGCTGATGGGTTTCTCCGATAGGATCTTGCTAGGGCAGGGCCTGCATATACAGTGGCAGGCTTTAAAAAGCTTACGGTAGCCATGCACGCGTCAGAATTGTGAATGTCGAGCAGTTGCAGCCAGCAGTCGAGAAGCTCTAGGGCGAATGGTTTGTCCGCATTTGTTGCTGTTTACTGAACTGGGGGGTCCGAATGAGGGGTTCTTCCCTTAGTCAGAGCCTTCACCGTTCGTAGAATTCGGCCTTGGGCAGGTTTCTTGCACGGCGGTACCATGCGTGTGAAGACGGCAAGCATTTTCTGTAGACGGGCTAGGATGACTCTGTGAGCCGCTGAATTCGGATTTAGTTAAGTAGATGAAGCTTTATTACCAAGTTAAACGCTGGAGTCCCCCCGGAATACGCGCCATCACAGGGCTCGGCGATTTGGTGGCGTTCGCTGGGTGTAGCATGCATTCAAAGGTTACCCATTTTGACGAAGTGTACTTAAACCGCATTATACTATAATACGGCCACAAAAAGTCTAAATTTGAACCGTTTTCAAGATGTTTCGCAATGGTGTGTGCAGCTTTCCCTAGAGGACAGCCGACGCTGCGCCAGAGGTGCTGTGCTGTTGCGGTACGCTAGAGGCAGCAGCAGAACGCGGATGAATTTAATTTTGTATATTTTTTCTGTACCTACAGCGAAATACCACAATTGAGTATTTCATGAGGAGTAAATAGACGGTGGCTACCCCTCCCCTGCCGCTGCAATGTTTTCGTGTTAGTCTTGGAGCAAACCGTCAAAACGCTCGAAAAGCAATTTGGCTACGACAATAGTACATTATTCTGTCTCCTTACAGGAGTAAAGGGATTATATCTTTCAATGATCTCGCAAGGTGCAGACCACGCTGGGTACCAGTGCTGTCAATGCCTGCGCCCACGAAATGACACCCAGGGACCTATGGGGGACATGCATATAAATCATCAGCCATATTCTTTTTGTTCCTCTGGTTTTTCTCCCAACCAGTCTCAGCAGGAGTCGCTGCGTAACGGGCTATGTGGAGCAGCAAATGCAAATGGGATTGCGCAGGAACAAGAAGCACAGTCAGGATGCTCCTGTGCAGTGATGCAAGATTATTGCCATTGTCCTTCAATAGCCCCAAAGATGATAAGCAAGGATTTCTTTACTTGCGGGGCTACGAAGCGTTCACAAAATACTGATGTGTGGGAAGTGTATCACCCTTTGCAGGGCTGCTATCATGATCGTCGAGTCGACCATTTTACGGATCCCTCTCCGAGGCAGCAAGTGCACGGAACAGGAGCTGTACTGACTGATGCTCCGCTTTCATCCACTCAGGCTCAAGCAGAAATGCGTCAAATAGAATATGAATATTACGTATGGGATACGACGACTCAGGAATATGTGCAAACGGATCAGGAAACAGGAGAAAAGATGCTTCAAAACCCCCACTACTTCCAGTATCACTACAGACTTGTCGAGAACACGAACAACGGGGAGGCACAGCTTCTGCCTGAGCCACTGGATGAACTGGGCTGTCCACTTTATCAGAGAAATTCAGAGCAAGAAAGCCATCCTCACGTGGAAGCTGATCACTTGTACGATCAACAGTTCACAGAGGAGTTAGATGACGCCAGCGGTGCTGCCTGTGTTCATGCTACTTCTGGATATCAGGCCACACCGGAATCACTTGTACCCCCGCGACAAGAGCGGTGCTGCGTGCCGAAGTCGACTCATCTGCGGTGCTGCACGCATGCGGTACGGAACACCTTGAGGTGTAACCATCAAGCTGTTGGAAAAGAAAACTTCGCGTCTCCTAAATGCGGGGGCCACAAGAAGGTGCTTCAGCTTGAGCGCTTCTGTGGAGAAGGCATCGACACATGCGAGGCAAGTGCTGAAGCACCCCATACTGGTTGCCGCAGGATACCAACAGGAAAAAATGTCCGCCCGCAATTGGACGCAACTCATCCTTCACATGCCAACAAAAGCTTCTATAGTTCGTGCAGTAGGCCGTGGCAAAACTCGCCTGCAAGTATACGAGATCGAGAGTTGCAGGTCCGGCAGTTGAGGCATCTTAAGCGATTGCAGCAGCTAGAAAAAGACGAGCTGCTCAGGCGCCAAATGATGCTAGACACTTTGGCAGCAACTCTGCCCACTTCGACGGATCATGCTGCGACTTCAGAGAGGAATGGAACTCATAGACAGAAGAGCCGTCCTGCTAGCTATACCCGTATGTCAGGAAGCAAAACCATTCGGCCTTCCCCACGATGCCCTCCGGAGGGAAATCGAAAAGTGCGCAACGATCCAGTTAACCGAGGGCGCTACTTCAGGGCTAAGTGGAAAAGCGACCGATTTTTGGAGCAACAGAAACATCCAACATTCGACGTAAAGGCATACGATGCATGGTTAAAAAGTAGTGGGCATCTACTAAGGGGGAAAGTCCTCGAGCTTCAGCTAGAGGAGCAACGACTGCTCTCAAAGCTGAAACAAGAGAGGCCCTCACACTCAAAGTGATGCTGATTTTTATAGCGGAATGTATTGTGTATTTTTCCACTTCTACAGTGAATCAATTCTTTCCGCCAGTGCCTCTATCGTCCCTTGGCTCCCCGCCAGTGGATCTGCAGCACCCCCATATACTAGGGATGGAGGAGGCATCGGTGATGCAAGCGACGCCGTTGAGCATGTCAGACTGCACTGCGGTATGCCTTGCCCGAACTTCGGAGCGCTGTTTGCTGAATGAAAGATTTGACACTCCGAAAGTGACTTGTTCAGGCCAGGGCTCAAACAGATGTCCCCAAAGTCTTGTGAACTTCCATTTGACGTAAAGCTTTGCACCGAATCATTCTTCGGCAACGATGTAGATGAAGTGCTAAAACGACTTGCACCAGGCTCCCCTGCTTCCGCTTTGATGAAATAAAACGATGCGTCGCTTTCTAGAGCCCAATGGTGGATTTGAATTCCACGGTCTTGCGATCTGAAGTCAGGTACACACTCGAACACGGGTAAAACAACATTAACAGCGTCGGAGTCGGTGAAATCTGAAGTGAACATCGCGGCGGCGCCGTCGTAATAGATGCTTTCCGTCATTGAGACATCTTGAATAGGCTGCAAGTTCCCCCATCCTTTCTCGAAAGCTTTCATATACGACGTGTAGACGTCTGTAGTTTCGATGCGTCTTCTGATTTGATAGATGTGTAACGGGAATAGGAACGGAGACGTGAGGAGCTGAAGGGCCGTTGGTCGCTTCCGTGGATCCTTGGTTAAACATTTGAGTAAAAAGTCTTTTGCATCCTGCCTTATACAAGGCAGGCGATCTTTCACTTGCTTCTCCTTGAATGCCGGAATTTGCCTAGAAGCTTCCTACAACACGCGAAGGTGCTTCCTTGCATGCACAATTACACAAAAAGACGATTGCGAAGCGTACGTGGATGTTGAGACATTCGAATAGACGTTCTCCAGTCAAGAGCTCAAAGAATATAGTTCCCACAGCCCAAACATCGATGGCATAGCTATATCCTTTTCCCGTCAATAAGAACTGCTCAGGTGCGCAAGCGAAGCAGGTCGTATAATTCTTTGTGAAAATACTTCCCGGTTTGACTTTCCTGATGTGAAGTAACGATGGGAAAAACCGCTAGAAGCGATACTCTTAGCCGACTTACGCGCTATTGCCAAAATCTATTAGCTTAACTTCGTCAGCTAGGAATGTTTCCCCATGCCGCACCAAGATGTTTTGTGTTTTGAGATCGCGGTGAATAATATTTTTAGAATGAATAAGCACCAATGCGCACACAATTTGATAAATGTACACCCTGGCCACCTCGACCTGAAGCATAACCACTGAATTGCTCTTTAACTTGATGTATTGCATGGCATTTCGTACCGGCATGCCGGAGGTGTGTTTAGTCTTTAAGAACTTCCGTAGTTCTCCTCCATTGACTAATTCAAGCGCCAGATGATCATGGGTATCATCAACTGCGCTGTGATGGGCAATCGCTGTTGCAACTGCAGAATTGCCCACTTCAACGGCGACAGAATGTACAACCAATCCAAGAAACTTAGTAGGATGCGGGTCTTGTGCTCTGTACGTCAACAAGGGGCCGTCCAGGCGGATTTCGCGAATGAGCGAAAATTCATGACGCAGCATTTCCTTCGGTTCACGTTTGATCGCCACAGCCTGTCCTTGCATTCGCTCTATCCCAAGAAATACCTCGCCGTTGCCTCCTTTGCCCAATCGCACATCAAGGAAGATTTCGAATCGGCAGGAAATTGGCACATCATATTCCGTTAGGTTGGTAGCCGCAGCACACCGGGTGCCCATACGGGAGTGCACTGCTCCCTTTGATGCACACCGGCTTAACTGCCGATCCATCCCAAGTAGGACGCGGCGTAGAGAAAAGCTACAAATAGGACCATCACTTTTGTTGATCGTCCGTCGATCAGACATTTTCACTGGCAGCATGCGGAAACTGCAATTTTCTGCAGAGTCAATCTGTGTAAAAAGCTCAAGGCCTTTCCCGGTTTCCTTTAAAAAATGACAAGTGAAGATTTGATCCACTTCAGTCGAAGACGCCGGGAGCCAACTTGGTTGGTGTAGAGCAATACTAGTCTCTCGAACCTTAACGCGCAACTGAGGACACTTTCCTCTACACTCTAAGAACCGTCCAAGAGGTATTGGAACAAGCGTGCCAAAAGTATTGTTTGCACAGCTACAGCCAACGACGTAGTCTCCAATATCTCTGAAAATATAGCACGATGGAAATGGGGAGGACTGGATCAAACAAAAATAGTATCCGCTCCGCGCGCATTTCCTCTCTCGGGTGTCGTGCCCATGTTGATTGGGCAGCACTCTGTGTTCGGCTGCTACTGGAGGCATAGCCTCTGTTGTCTTTGCAGAGCTGTTGCTGAACTTCCACTTTCCCAACATAATATACAAGCGGGTGGAGGTGCCAGAAGTGGTGCGCTCTACCAAACGATGGCGAGCAAAGCGCACGACACCCGCGCAGCTGTTTCCACTGCTAGGCTACTGATAGGCTTTTAAAAACGAGAGGGTGATGGGATGATTATGCAGTGCGATGCATGAGGGCCAAATGCATGGTTGGGGGTGGTGAAAATTTCGGTTTTCCGGCAGAAGCTCTGCCGAATTAAAAAGAATGCCTACAAGCTCGCGCTGATTGCGATTGCGCGAAAAAAACTCATAAATAAGAAACAAAATAACATATCAAAGCTCAGAATGTTTCAACATGCGTTGCTACTGTACGGAAGGCTACTTGAAGGTATTGTGGAGTGTTATGTTGCGTACGACAAATCTGCAATTTCAGAAGCTGTCCATACAGCTAAGGAAGAACTGTACTCCTCCGGCTCGTGAGCAGCTGATCTGTAGAACTTTACAAGGTGATGCGCTATGTCATTTTTCAGCACAGTAGATTAAGCTTAAATTTTTCATGATCACTGAGAAACCGAAAAGAATAAGCCGGTCACGGGATGCGCCCCGCAAACTAGGGAGATGAGAGCAGCAGTATAGAACCCTTTCTTTGTGCTCCTAAAACGAAACTGTACCAATCAATACGACTGCATTGAAGCTGCGCACAGCAAACTCGGGGTGTGTTGCGTACTATGTAGCTCTCCGTTTGGGGAACCTGCAGCCTGGACGATAAGATGAATCGTGCCTTCCCCCCTTTTTCTTTATGGATGCGAAATAAAAGACCAACCAACGTCCTATCCTCTCCAAAGTAGGGAATTTTTGATTAAATCCCTGCCAAATGCCAGTTCATTCTCTGGATCGGCGTTAAGCTGTCTGACCGGCACTTATAGCTAGCGCAGTGCTCAAGTGAGCATCCATAGTTTTGAAACTGAAACGACAAAAGCACGTTAAAGCGAATAGCTGATCTTGAGAGGATAATGGCGGCACACACAAGGTGAATGAACGTTCTGTTCCATTGCAAGCATTCCGGACTCCCCGATGTGCGACACCAGCAGCCAGTGGGCTGCTCCCTGTAAGTTGGGTCAAAACTCATTATAGAGGCTTCCCAGAGCATTTTCCAGACATCAAGTCTCGTATTAGCGAAGACTCTTTTATCATTTTTCCTGGACTACAAGCGCCTTGATGGGAAGTTGACTTACAGACCGGCGTTTTGCATCCTGTGGTCAACTGCTGAGCTAAAGCACTCCCGAGCTGCATACAGCTTCTTTAAAGTGGCATTATCGGACGACTTTCGCGACATGTGTTGAGATACAGAATGAGAAAGTGTGAATTCATTAAATCACTGCAGCACGTCGAGCCATCACTGGAATATTCGCGATCTGGGAACCCCGTGGAGCGAGGTCCTTCTGGGTGGAGAAACGTTGGATTTTTCATCTTCCCACCACAAACCCTTGATGGGACTGATCTCAGATATTCTTTTGCTTTAGCGGGAATTGAAGGCTTGTGAGTACTCTTTGTAGTGTGCCGGGCCTCGCACTCGAACACATCCGGCACGCGCAGTCGGAGTGCCGCAACGATGGATGGACCATATGGAGGAGGGAATTCTTTCCTCCACACATGTTTAGAGAGATGCGACTTTATGGCATTTTTTGCGGAGCTACCGAAGACGAGCAACCTGTTTGTCCGTGACAGGGGAGGGCGGACTGTCATGGAGCTGGCGATGCACATGGCAGCTGATTTGTTTCAGTCCTGCTTCAGCACATCTTTCCCCATAGATAGCAGCGCTTTCGGAAAGTATATGTCATGCTCTTGCGCCGTCTGCTCGCACAGGAGGCATCGAGGCATGCGAGATGGTCAGGGGGAGAATGAGAAGATACACCAGTGCAAGAATCCAATGCGGGTTCGGTATAATGAAGAGTACATTAATATGTACCTCCAGCCAAAGCAAATGCGTCTAAATAGCAAGCTTGCCCCCGCGGGACCATCATTCCCAGCAACTCACAAATATACTCCTACACAGTACCCCCCGGGGTGGAATCCCAGTACGAGGTCCTCTCACGGCAGATCTCAGCAAAACCCGGCAGAAAACCAGGGTGAATAAGCTCGTTATCTTCACAACTATGCCCATCAGTGTATCAATCGGTACAGTTGTAAATTGTCGTATATACCTTGACGCGAGTCATGTGGGAAAATGCATTTATGAATAGGTTCATGAGAGTAGTAGTGAATGCTGCACGGCGCGCACTGTTCTGCCCCATCTAAGCTGCTTATTCTAGGTCTCGGGACCTACTGTAGTCTAGATGTGACTATATATGACCACGTTTAGCCTTTACTCAAGATAATTATTTTGACTGATGGACGGCTGCCGCCCTCTTTCCAGGTCCCCTAGTGCGTGTGCGGATTGTTTTACCTTTACTTCTGTTTCAGCTTCATTCCCTCTGCCATCTGGGGCTCTGGCTAGTGTTCCCGGTCCATGTCTCCCCCAGCAATACTTCTACCCCTGCGAAGCTGAAGATGAGAGCGCCGAGGGAGGGAAATTGGCTCTTGAACAGGTGAAGCTAGAGAATAGAATGGTGCAACGCGAGGTACTGGTTCTTGTCGAAGACGTCTGCACCGGTCCTCTGTGCGATACCATGAAGGCCAGGATGAGACGGCTGTTGAAGAAGCTACGGTCGTTAATGCTCGTCATGAAGCGGCTTGGGGCATGTTACATGCTACGTATTAAGGCGACTGAGGCTGCCGTGGACGGAAATCTTTTGCAGCAGAAAATCACATATCCATTTCTTTATTCGGCATTGCTGCATAAAGCATTTAAGCTATACCCCAACGGGCCTAGGGGCCAAGTAAGATCTACTATAAGGAAATGATACAAAAAAGAAAACACGAAAATCTACATCGCAATCTGTAGGATATGTTCATGAGGAGTCGCTGTAGCTGGCTACTGCATACTTAAATGTACAAGGTGCTCGGATTATGTATTGTCAGCGCATTCATGCCTTTTTCCAAAAACATGCCTGACTTTCGTGCTTCCGCAGTGGTTTGCTTTTATGACTGAGCCCTCCTTTTTACCCATTATTCAATGCAGTTGTGCTCTTGTTTTTGATTCTTTTTGATAATTTACTTTTTTGCTTTGCATTTCTCAGGCATTTGACCCCCTGAATCCAGCAGATGGACGTCGTATGATTCAGTTGCTGGTGAACTACCAGCTGCCAGGATATGAATTGGCTCTCTTCCTGGGGAATTTAACTTCTATTTTCAGCGAATTCGTGTCATTTTTCGCCCAGGATGACGTGCGCATTTGGCGTCCAGGGAGAGAATTGCAACAGTTCTATCTTCACATGGCATTTGCCTTAGATAACGTGGATATATTTAAATTCATCGTTAATTATGGGCAACTCTTCGCGGGGCCCACAGATATTTTCAAGTGGGAGGACCTTCTGTATGCACTCATGGAAGTAGGTTGCTGAGCGGTTTTGGTCATACCGTATGTTATTCACTGTCGCATGTTTTATCAAGAAGCCGTCACCCGCCCGTCTCGCCTGGTTGTCAGTTATCAACTGTTGCTCACCCCTTTGTTGCGCCTTTTCTTTTCCATCTTCCGCCTATTTGCTGGTGGAGTTGCTGACTACGGAGAATATGAGACAGTCTAAACGCCACTTTATCATACATCATGAGAGAGGCAATAGTTCCATTGCCCCCTCGATCTCTTGTTTCCTGGTTATTGCACCGCGCTGTCTTGTGCAGTGGTTTGCCTTCTCGTATGCTAGCTTCGGTAATGAATGTTGCTGTAGACCTAAAGCTGATGACTAATTAGATCGAACGCTCTTATGCTGTGGCATTTCACTTGCATTTCCTGTTTCGTTGTGCAGCACCGGGACAAATTCCGTCCTTACTTCTCCTCCCTTTTGTCTTCGCGCCTGAAGAGCCGCGTGCAGAAACGGCTAGTAGAGGAGGGCACGGCGAGTGACATCAAAATGAAATTCCCAGCAGGTAATTTAGGTGAACGGGCAGTCACCTCTAAAGTTTGAAGTTTGTAGGCTTTTCTCGAATGCAATTAGGCGATTTTTGTTTCCAACTTCAATTAAATTCACCCCATATATGATTTACACTAGCTCATACCCGCATGGTGCACCACAACCTGCTCCATTGTTGATTTTAGTTAGACAGGCTCTTCATGTAACATGAACTCATGGAAATACTTTTTCGATATTGAGGCATACGTAGCACCTGTGCAATAAAGAGTTTGGCATCTATACACGCATTACGTAAACCATGTATGCGCCCTGGTACATGTGCTCCAATACTCCCTAGTGGTTCAAAGGCAAACCGAATTCCGCACACCTCTGCTCAGGCACATATCCACACTATCGTATCTCATGCCTTTCAGGTCCGATCTATACCCAGGCTCTAAACTTAGTTTCTGTCGTTTGTTCTGTTTCGTTTCAGAGCCCGTCAAATACCCCTGTGAGGAGCGCCTGCTGACGCAAAAGGTTCTAAGCGAGTATGGCTCTCTCTTTGGAAAAGAAGAAGCAAAGGAGCTCAGCGAGCTATTGAGGAGATGGAGATATGGGGCAGCCAGGCCAGAAATAGATAGGACAGGGAAGGGGGGGGCGTTGAAGGCCTCCGTCTCCTCTGCTCCACAGGCCTTCTGGTGTTAGATTTGAGGCAGCGAAAGTTCATGAAAAGGGCCTCTTTAGGGTCCTTGCTGTTCCATCACTCAGGCGTCCAGGGTGTTGACTGGGCTTCGGAGGCTAGAGGAAAGAGAAGAGCTGGTTACTCTTCCTCTTGCGGCATGTGTGATGCGTATGGCGCAACTCTTTTGGCCCTCATGCCTTCACACCCCATTTCCGCTTAATGTTGCTTGGAGGCTGGGCTTTCACTACACCACAAACCAAGGATGACAGGCGCTTTCTCTAGCCAATACATCTCGGTTGAGTCAAGTAGTTGCAAAGTTGGATGGCGTGTGCGTCCTATTCGTCTTAGTGACATGATCGTCGTTCCTAATTTTTGCGCTTTCGGTGAACTTGACCAAGCTTCGGGGATTAGGACTGGAGGGAATAACCCTGGATAAGAGACAGAAGCGCGGTACAATGGCTTATTCCAGCATCACAGCGTAAATGGCTGCAACGGGGAATGCATTTAGCTAGGTAGCACGACCGTCACTCACACAAAATTTCCCCCAATGCCCCGTCCGGCTGAGATATATACGCCTTATGAAGACCCCTTATTCCCGACTTGAGCATCAAAGAGGAAAATAGCTCGCACGTTTCCTGCTTAGTTCTTTGCGGCATGGCGCGCCACAAGGGCCTCCAGCTTATCTGGACTTGCCCCCGTCAGCTGAGTCGCAAGCACAGCAAGCCAACGAGGAGTAGAGAGCTAATACCGACATTCCCAGCAGAAATACGGTACATATACATCAAGTAGCGTCCAGTTCGATCACATACACCAGTACCAAATAAACACCAGCAGCCCCTAAAGTAGTGCCAAAAGATAAAGTTGAGTAGAATGCCTCATCAAAGCACTTGTATGCTCCATTAGTGCACATAACAAAAGCGATGCATTTTATATTCCACATTTTGATGCAAACTCAACCACCAGAAATCACCCCAGTCAACCTTACTGAGTCGATTGCATAGCCCTTATCTCTGTACACTTTGAAGGTCGGGAGCATCGAAGGGGCGTCCGGATGGTCCGGAAAATCGTCAACGTTCACGGAAGCGAAAATCCCAGAGTACCTCTGAGACAAATGCTGTAATGAGAGAGATACAGAGACACGCACACTACCCGATCATGTAGCTATCGGATGAACTGGTAGAAGACGCTGTAAGGGAAGAGTGCCCAGCTAGCAGGACACTCTTCCCTTAGGTTTACGGCTGGCTGTCTAGCCGCCGAGCATGCAACGGGCATGCAAGAAGTTGGCAAAGCAAGTATTCATGTGGGGAAAGATCAGCCCTCGAAGCCGGATCGCCGATGAGCTAGCCAGGTGTAACGGCCGCAATTCAGATGCGCATCCTTACGTAGACTAATCCAAAGCTAAAACCTCTGTCCCTCATCACAGTGACTTACGTGAAAGATGGGTGCAATACGCCTGCACGGGCCGCACCAATTTGCTCCGAAGTCAACGAAGAGAGGGACTCCAGCGTTTTTCGCTTCCGCTAGTAGCCGGTCGAACTCGAATTGGGTTCTTACCGACCTCACTTCTCCCCCCTAAAACACACGGTTGACGGTGCACATACGAAGGGCAGGCGCGGTGTGCCACCCTGACTTCTTTGCCATGCACGGCTTTTCACGAGTTCATGCCCTGTTCGCTGCGTCTGTTCCCCTTGACTCTACATTGCTTTGACTAATTCTCGAAAGTTCACCTGCTTGACGCCATCGGTAGCCGTCGCCCCCCCTCCACTGTCGCCTTTTTCTGGTGCTGCAGAGTCTTGTGCTTCCCATCCGGTGAGTATTTTGAATAAGTGGATCAGGGGCTTCGCCAACATGAGGAGCAAGATGCCCAGGTGCCATATAGGCACGCAGATGGGCCCTATGCAGATGATCATTGTAGCTTTACAAGGTCACTAGAGAGGCAGACCCTACTCAAGTCTCGTACCACAAGAAAAAAAGAGACCATACACTTAATATCCCTCCACCGCCGCGATGCGCGGGCAGCTCACTGGATACAGGAAATCGCTTAAAATGACGGGAAAAAATCACGAAACAAAACACGAGAAAGCCGACAACGCGAGTGGACACTGGCGCCCATACCTTGGAGACCCCTCCACAAATAGGGGGGATAGTTGTAGCCCTGTTTTTCTTGTTACGCGAAGACAAGTAGTAAAAGTTTCAAAAATCAGTCATGAGAAACGCAGGAGAGCCAGTAATGCGCACAGGAAGGCCGGAAACAAGAACAAAATTCCAGTTACGAATCACGCGAAACCATTGGGGCTGCAGACCGCCAGCGAGAGCCGAAGGAGGCATAAAGTTTGTGCGTGCACTTCATTCCCCTCGAACTCCAACCCTTGATTCATAATCCCTAAACCATCAGATATCCCTGGCGCTACTGCTGTCTTTGCGCTTTTGCCTTCTATGTACTGCGGTGTTACTGATTGGCTGCTCTGCTGTGCAACATTGGCAACAAGACAAGGCTGGAAATTCCTCTCCAGAACCGACGCAAATCTTGAGCTGGCTGTGTTATTTATTCTTGGAAGGGCGAAACTTTGCTGTTTCGCCGTCTCGCAGTCATGACGGTCTCGGCTGCAGTAGCAGCAGTCGAAGCAGCAGCAGTCGAACCCGCAGCAGTCGAAGTAGCGGCGGCGGAAGCCACAGTGGAAGCAAAGGGGGATGAATCGACTGCAGGCAGCAGGCGCAGTGCGAAGCTCGATAAAGATGAGCAACAGCAGCAGCAGCCACAACAGCTGGTGGACGACCCCATATCGGATGCCGCGTTTTTCCCCTCTTTAGAGGAGCAGAACAGGCAGCTCAGCGAAGCCAAAGCTTCGCTGCAGCATCAGCAAGAACGGCGGCGGCAACTGCAGCAGCAGCAGCAGCAGCAGGAAGCAGAAAACGAGTCACTGGAAACAGAAGCCACCGATGAGGCGTGCTGCAGGTAGGAAACATCGAGGCCATACGCCTTCAGCATTGGCTTTCAGTGCAACTACGGGCTCTTGCAGCCAGTGCCACTTTCCAGAGGCAAGCGTCTCCTGCTGGGCAGGAGAATTTTTCGTGGAGAAGGCGCTCAAATCGCGAGAGGAGGGGCCTGGCACTGCTGCCTCAATCCCTTTTTTGACGGGTTCTGGTTGGGGTGTCTCTCTCCGGTTTGCGATTTCAGCTACTGCGGCGTTTCCGGATGCGACATTTTGTTGCGTTGCGCATCATGCGATCGTTTCTTCTGCAATTCGGTGTCTGGGGCACCTCGCCGCTCAGGGGTTGCGAGTCACATTTTGCATCACATCATCAAGAGCAAGCACCGAGAAGTCAGATTTCATCCTATGGGATCTTTAGGTCGGTTTCCAGCTGGAACTGCGACGTGCGAAATGTTTTGAACTGCGGCGCCGTTCGTGTGGAGGGAACGCTGGGGAAGCGGAGTTTCGATGCCTCCTGCCCCTTTTGCCTCAATCTTGAGGTTCAGTGACTGCGTCTTCAGAGCCTGAAAGAGGGTTCTGAGGAGACGCGAGGCTTCGAAGATCGTCCGGTGTGTGCGGCTGAGAGACTGCCCTCTTCCGCCTCACCCGATAAAAGACTGCGCTGGTGATACACTGTGTGTTTGCTCGTCCGCATCAGGCGACACGAAACTTGAGTGCTTCGTATGCGGCGTGAAAAACGTTCTTCAGCTTGGCATGGTTGTCTCCGAGGCCAGAGGCGTCGTCATCATTGTCTGCAGGTGTGTCTGTACGTATGTATATATGTATGCATGTACGTGTATTTGTGTATGTTTGTTTGTATATTTGTGTATGTGTGTTTGTATATTTGTGTATGTGTGTTTGTATATTTGTGTATGTGTGTTTGTATATTTGTGTATGTGTGTATATTTGTGTATGTATGTATATTTGCGTATGTATGTTTGTATATTTGCGTATGTATGTATATTTGTGTATGTATGTACATTTGTGTATGTATGTATCTATATATGTGTTTGTATATTTGTGTATGTATGTATCTATATGTGCGTTTGTATATTTGTGTATGTATGTACATTATGTATGTATGTATATTTGTGTGTGTATGTGTTTGTATATTTGTGTATGTATGTACATATGTATGCATGCATATTTGTGTATGTGTGTGTTTGTGTATTTGTGTATGCACGTTTGTATGCATATGTGTGTGTGGAATTGAGAACCTGGAATCGGGGCGTGGGGTTTCAGTTTGTTTTTGGAAGGGCTGAGGAAACTGGCTGAGGGAAGCTGCTGGAGATAAGGCTTTGGAATACGTGTAGATGGTGCGCGCGCCGTACATTGAAGCACTTGGCATCTTGGCTTTTTGCGAGTGGGCATGTGCAGAGACAGGTGCTATGCCAAGGGCGTGTTGGAGGACAATGGATGGGATGCGTCTCAGTGGCAACCCCTCATTGATAATAAGGCATTCGCCTCCTGGCTTGTGAGAGTAAGCAGGATATGGAGTTTGGGAGTCGCAGATCCGAAGGAGGGGGGAAGAGTGTGGAAGGAGGGGGGAAGAGTGTGGAAGGAGGGAGGGGTAGAATGTGGAAGGAGGGGGGAAGAGTGTGGAAGGAGGGAGGGGTGGAGTATTCTTGTGTGTTTGTGTTTGTGTTCATGATTCTTAGCCACTGACGAATGCTGAGAGGGCTGCGATGCTGCCAGTGAGTCGCCTGGAGATGGAGCAGTTGGAGGAGCGATGGGCGCAAGACGGGAACGCCACTCTTGCCGACATTCGTTCGGAAGGTAATTGGGGGTTTCCGCTTCTTGGCATGCAGTTTCCCAGCTTGCATGATCGTAGGCCTAAGGATAGTTAGCCCGCTAGCAAACGGAGGCGTACGTACAGACAGACGGAGCGAGGAAGAGCGCGACAGCGAGAGGGAGACAGAGACCTTCTAGATGTCTCTTGCATTTTCATGGTCGTTCCCCGTTGGGTAGGGGAGAGTACACTCAGTGAAGGGGAAAGCCGAACGCGTGTGTCTACCTCCGCCTACGGACTGCTGCTCGCTTTTAGTCTCGTGCATGAACCTCTTTGCATGCGTATTTATGGCCATCCGTGTTACTGGCTTCCCCTTTTCTATCCCTTTTCAGCAAAGGTTTGTCCTTCTCAGAGAGAGAGAGAAAGACCCTCTTTCACCAGTTTTGCCTGTGCCGATCAGCGTTGCGAGGGATGCTTCTGCTGCTTGTTGAGAAGCTAGTGGCACTCAAAATGCGACACGCAAAACAAGTTTCTTAAAGCAGCCGCTGGGGAAGGATGACACCCTCAGACATGTCGTGAGGTGCCTTCCAGACTGCACATGCATGCGTATGTGGCGCATGGGTGGCTCCCGCAGGGAGCGAGCCCCTCGTCAATTGTGAGCTGTTGTATCCCGACGCCGTGAGTTATCAGCGCGTCTTTGCGCCGCTAATCGCTGCAGAAGCAGACATCGAGAGGCGACGACGACAGGAGGAAGTAGCGGTCAGTTCGCCATCCACTATCTGTTGCAGCATTTCACGCTTCCAGCGTTTGCTGGTAGAAAATTCGCGCTCAGCATGCGTGTTGCGTCGTTGTTTTCCTCTGGACAGGAGACTCTTAGCGCCCGATTCGGACGTCTGGGGGAGTGCGGGGGTGGGGGAACTCATCGTTGCTTCTACGCCTCTGTATGCTTCCTTTTGCCGCAGGAGGCTGTCTCGGTGCACTGGGAGAAAGCACGATTCGACAAAGTCAAGTGCTTCTTTGTCTTGGAGGACGACAGATTTTCAGGGGAAATATCCGTGGGGGAGGAACTGGTCATTTCGTGTAGGCTGCCACGCTCCTTGATGCGGCCTGCTCGCAGCAGCAGCAGCAGCAGCGCGCCTTCAAGCAGCAGCAGCAGCAGCAGCAGTGCTGGTGGAAGTGCTTCTGCGGACGGGGTTCTGTTCGATTGGAATTGTAAGGTTTGGGTGGCTGCAATAAACAGGCAAACAGGCATGATTGAGGCCATCGTTCTCCATAACAGAAATGGAAAGGTGTGTTTTCTTTGCATGCCTTTCCCGCTGCCTCAAAGGCTTTCTCTGAACTTTACACAACAAATACGCGATCCGTTGTTGGCCATGCTGCCCGTGCTAACGCGCTTCCCACTTGATTGCGTTCCATTTAGAGGCCCTTGCCTTGCATACCCTGATTATTCATGCCTTTGCCTTTTCTAGGTGCCCTTGGTTTTTAGCCAGGAGTCTGTTACGTTGAGCTGCCGTTTTCGACGCCTCTCCCACATATCTCCCACTTTGTGGTGCCTTGGATCTGCGCCTCTCTCTGCTGCTGTAGAGTATTTTCCCTGCCTAGATAAGCAAAACGCGTGTTGTGAGGCGGGGGAGGTCTTCTCTCTCTGTCTCTCGCACTCTCGCTGACTTGCTCTCGCTTTGTGTGTGTATGTTTGCATGTATGTTTGTGTGTATGTTTGTGTATGTATGTTTGTGTATGTATGTGTATGTATGTTTGCGTGTATGTGTGTGTCTTTGTGTGTATGTGTCTGTGTGTATGTGTGTTTGCGTGTATGTATGTTTATGTGTATGTATGTTTGTGTGTCTGTGTTTGTATGTATGTGTGGCTCCCCTGCTTCGTTCGGTAGCTGCCCTGCTTGCTGCTGCACGCCTCCTGCTTGCCGTGTTTCTATCCTGCTGTTTCTTCTCTCTGGCTTCCTCGCGCGCGCATTCGCCTGCCTTCCGTTTGTCATGTCTGCCACAGACTCCCTGGGGTCCTTGGGAGGATCCGACTCCCCGTATATACAGCGTGCAGTGCATGTGGAATAGCATAACGTATGAGCGAATGATGGGGGCACTTCGTTCTTTTGCCGCGGACGAAAGGAGCATTAGTCCGTATCTGTGCGACACGATCATTGGGAAAAACATGCTGCCCCTCAAGATTCAGTAAGCCGAGCGAACGCTAGAATTGCAATGCTTTTTCGTGTGTGTGTGTGTGTATCTGTATGTGTGAGTGTGTGTGTATCTGTGTATGTGTGTGTATCTGTGTATGTGTGTGTATGTCTGTATCTGTGTGTATGTCTGTATCTGTGTGTATCTGTGTATGTCTGCGTGGCACTCTGCTAATGCCTCAAAGTGATCCTCCCCACTAATGACTTTCCCCTGTCTTTCAAAGGCGGGAGCAGCGAGTTTTGTGTCTGGCCTCCCTCCCGCGCTCAAGGTGCTTTCTGCTCGTCTCGTCTTTCATGTGTCTGACTGTGCATTCATAGCGGTGGGGTGGGGTGGGTTGGTAAAAAGAGGGTGGTACCTTGCTATATACATGTGTGTGGATTTGGCGGTTTGTGGCGCGATGTATGGAATGCTCCTAGCGGCATGTCGACGCGTCTGCTTACGCATCCCTTCCTACATACACATACAGAACTCGCGCCCCCCACGATCCAGACATAGAACCGTAATTCGTAATGTATAAGAATGTATAGGGGAAATTCAAACTTTGGATAGGCGCCCATACGTGAATGCCGCCGAAGTGATCGCACGAGTGTGTCCGATGTGGTGGTTTTCGGGGGCGTTTGCTCTTTTGCTCTCTTTCTCGTTTGAAATTCTCTTTCTCTCTCGCTCGCTCTCTCGCTTTAAGTCTCCCTCTGCTGCTGCGATATTTCCAGCTTCTGCTGCATGCTTTTCTGGTGCTGCAGGGTAGAAATTCCAGGAAACGTGTCGGCCCCTAATTTGCCTCCCTTGAATTACAGCCAAATCGATGCCATACGCTATGCGTTGCAGCACAGGCTCACGTTAATCCAGGTGTGCAGCGCACATGCAGCAGGCTGGAGTGGGAGGCCAGAGTAGGAGGGGGTGATCCTCTTTTTGAGTGTATGAACGCAGAAACGATGGGTGTGCATCTGACGTTCTGTTGCCCAAGCCACAAAGCCCTTAAAAGCGCTGCTCCGCCACTGACTTCATGCTGGCAGCGTCTGTACACTCCCCTGACATCCTCCTCTTGAACAAGGCGCTGATTGCTTTCCTGTCTGCTGCGGCGATCTTCCTTAGGGGCCTCCCGGGACGGGAAAAACGCACACTGCTGCTGCCCTGGTGTACAACTTGTGGGCTTTGTATCCAAACACGCTTCCCATCCTCGTTTGTGCGCCAAGCAACGTCGCCGTAGACAATCTGGCGGAAAGGATCCACCTGACAGGCCTTAAGGTGCCGCGCTTTAGATGGCTGCATGCGGATCTGCCGTTTTAGTGTTTGCCCTTGGCGCGCAAAAAGCTGCGCGCGTCTCCGAGGCGGAGTATATCTGCGGGAGGGCGCTTCCACACTTCTGCGTGTAGTCCTTCGCTTTTCTCCGTCTCTGTGTGTGGACCGTCCATTTTTTGAATTGCGGGTTGGCGAGAGGCTGCTTTTTGCCACTCGCTGCTTGGAAGGCGTAGATAGTAGACGAGAACGACACCCATAGGGAGATACAGACCACTGTTTGCGCGTGCTTGCGCGTGTGATGGCTACTTTTCAACAGGTTGTTCGTGTGTATTCGCGCCAACGGGAGACAGCGGCGGATGATGGAGGGGGTGCTGTTGCTGTGCCCTTGGAGCAGTTGGCTCTGCACAAGCTGGCGGAGAATGCGCCTTCGGCAAAGAGCGAGGCAATGCTGTGCTTGCGATCGAAGAAACTCAAGGTAGTTTGGGAGAGCAGCCTTTGTCCGTACAGTCGCGCGGCACACGCCACAGACGGTGCAGAGTGTGGGCGAGGGGCAGAAGCAGAAGCAAAAACGTTCACACACATATACATATATATATATACATATACATCCTTGACAGCCGAAGAAGATGCTGTGGATCATATCATTTATGCACAAGAGCGTGGTAGACGCTGCAGGGCTTGAATGGTTAGGCGGGAGCTCGAGGTGCATGCATATATGTGTGTGTTGAGGTGGACAAAGTGGCTATATCTTGGTCAGAGACGCCTCGCCTATGGGTGTATTGCAGAAATGCACTGCTGTCCTAGACTCTGTGTATGTTCGTTTGTGTATACATGTGTGTATATATGTGTATAGGCAGGTGTTTGTATATATGTGTATATATGTGTATATAGGCAGATGTTTGTACATATGTGTGTATATATATGTATATAGGCAGATGTTTGTACATATGTGTGTATATATATGTATATAGGCAGATGTTTGTACATATGTGTGTATATATATGTTTATAGGCAGGTGTTTGTATATATGTGTATATATGTGTATATAGGCAGATGTTTGTACATATGTGTGTATATATATGTATATAGGCAGATGTTTGTACATATGCGTGTATATATGTGTATATAGGCAGATGTTTGTATATATGTGTGTATGTATATGTATATAGGCAGATGTTTGTACATATGCGTGTATATATGTATTTAGGCAGATGTTTGTATATATGTGTGTATATATATGTATATAGGCAGATGTTTGCATATTATATATGTGTGTATATATGTATATAGGCAGATGTTTGTATATATATGTGTATATAGGCAGATGTTTGCATATTATATATGTGTGTATATATGTATGTGAGCAGATGTTTGTCTATATATATGTGTGTGTGTATATTGGCAGATGTTTGTCTATATATGTGTGTATATATTCCTCTTAAAAGCAGAGGCATGGAGGTACAGTCCTCGCAATAAGTTGATGTCTTGGGAGTGCAAAGGACGCGCATGCGGCTGTATGTTTGTGCAACTTTGTGTGTGAGTGCTTGTTCGGCATTCTGATGGGCAGAGCTGGCAAGGCGTGTAGGGGGCTGTTAATTTGACGTCTACTGGGGGGTAAGCTCCGTAGGATTTTCGCAGGTGGAATGACGGAGAGGATGCTTTTTGTTGTTTTCTGCTGTCGTAGGAAGGCGAGCTCAGTCCCCAAGAAGAAGGGCGGCTGCGAACTCTTCAGCTCAAGAGCGAGCATGAGGTTCTGCTCTCTGCTGATGTTGTTTGTTGCACCTGTGCTGGAGCCGGTATGATAACTCTACTTTTTCTCCCTTTCCTTTCCCTTCCTGCTCCCAACTTTCCTGTGTAAATTTTTTATCTCTCTCTTTCTGTTTCTTTCTTTCTTTCTTTCTCTTTCTCTCTGTCTCTCTCTCTATATATATATATATCTCTCTCTCTCTGTCTCTCTCTCTCTCTCTCTCTCTCTCTCTCTCTCTCTCTCTCTCTCTCTCTCTCTCTCTCCCTCTCTTCCTCTCTCTCTTCCTCTCTCTCTTCCTCTCTCTCTTCCTCTCTCTCTCTTCCTCTCTCTTTCTCTCTCTCT